TTGCACGCACCGCCGAGCTGGTTGTTGCAGAGATCGATTTGTTAGGAGATCGTGTACGACCCCCAGTCTGGATGTTGGCTCGAAGCTCCTTCAACGATCCCCAGCTTTCCTTGACAAGCGCTTTTCCTCGATTCTCGGGTAGAGCGTCGATACGGTTGTTCAGAGGATTCTTGAACTTGGGGAAATCCACGCTGCGGTGGGGCTTTACCGAAGGTTCGGGACCTGAAATGGACGAAGGTTGGAGAGCAATATTACCTGCTTTTACCTTAGGCGTTGATTCGGCCTTTGGCATCCAAACTCGTTCGGACCTCGGCGATCTCTTAACGGCCTCTCCCTTTAGCATTTCTCGTGCTTTTTGGACCAGGGCTCGGGCATGCGCACGCAAGGCGCGGCGCTTCTGGATTCGCTCCTCGAGAGTAGAACGGGTTCTTTTGACATGAACCCATTTGTTTGTTTCTGCTTCGGAGGAGGGGCTGGTTGTTTGCCGTGGTTGCTCCTGGCGTTGCCTGGATTTTAGATCTACGTTATAGCGGATCCCATCCATCGGCTCCAAAGCCTCGGCCAGCTGTCGAGCAAGACGTTGACGCTGTCTTTGTCGTGCTCTCTTTGATAATGCCGGAGCGTCTTCAGAAGTCATCTCCTCGGCGGAAGAGGAGTCCGGATCTGCGATCTCGACCATTTTGGACGACGTGGGGACGTCGCGTGGTGCAAGTGCAGAGGCGGCAACGGGGTCTTGGATTTTTGAACCGAAGGACCTGCAATCATTTATGAAAGAGGTTACCTTTCTGTACCCGTTTGGAGAGGCGGATCTGGAGGAGGAGGAAGAGAGGCCTTCTTTGAACCGTTGTTGATCGAGCTCGTGTTCTTCATTCACCCCGATCTTGAGTGCTGGTTGCGTCACGACGGCGTCGGTTGCGATGCCGTTGGCTCCCACTGTGGTCGCCAGCTTGTTTGCGGAAAAAGTTGCTGTATTCATTGCTGCATTCATTACAACTTCAATCGTTACAATGAAATAAAAAGATAGCCTTTTTATAAGACCGGTACACAATGAAAACAAAATAGATACAACTCTTTTCAAACAAACGCAAGATCTGTTTGTCATCTCTTGCTTGCGTGGGTCTTTTGCCTGTGACGGGGATGTTGATATCCGTGGACCACCGGGGCACTCAGATCTGGTCCGAGAAAATCGGGCAGAGTTTCGTCTATCCGCGGGGGGATTTTAGAAACTCTGAACCCCGTCGATCCGCGTGGGATCTCAGAGGTGTAAAGCTTATGTCTCGGCTAAAACGAGGCACTAGCTCTCCTTTGTATCACCGCTAAGGGCAACACTAAGGGAAAAGAAGGTGGGGAATGAAGAAGAAGACTCCTTTGCTGCAGAAGGCTCGCTCACTCCTCGATCCGGCAGGGCTTCGCCGCTCTCTTAGAAAACCCCGACTCCTTCCTCCGGCAGGGCTTCGCCGCTCCTCTCTGGAATTTCAGATCTCAAAGGCTAGAGCTCTAGATCTGAAATTCCTCTCCCAAAACCAAGGCCAAGAGAATGGAGGCCCTAGGGGCCTATTTATAGGAAAACAAAGGGGGGGTAGGGGCTGGTTGAGGACACCCCCTAGGGGGGTGTCTCGGCTCCAAAACCGAGACACCCCTTGGGGTGTCTCGGCCATGGCCGAGACACCCCCAAGGGGTGTCTCGGTTTTGGAGCCGAGACACCCCCCTAGGGGTGTCCTCAACCAGCCCCC